CATTTGACATGAGATTTGATTTATGATAGATATTGTGAGATTTTGAAACACTTAGTTTTTGATTTTATACTTTGGTGATGAAATGATGGTTTTAATGATGTTTTAACAACGAAATTTTTGGGTTGTATTTTTTGGATGTTTCAAGTACTCTCCCTTCTTTTCAGATTGGAGAAACTTTTATCTTTTTGTCTAATTGATTTTTCGTTCTGCTATACAATGAAACATTTTCCACGATTCAGAATTACACTTAATACTGTAAGCATAACCATATTTACTAAACTTTTTAGTAAATCATGACGAAAATTCTTGTCGTTCTTTGTGATGGACTTAACTAGTGCACAACAATGTGTACTAGATCCCCTAGTCATTCACTTGACTCACATCCATATGTGAACAAGGAATTAGTCTCAATTTCCCAAAGATTAAGGTTTTCATTCATCATACGATGCAAGTCGCATGATTCCAAATTTATGTCCAATTGAAAATTGGGTGATGAGAATATTTCCTTATTTGGAAAATATCCGAAAGTACCACAAATATCATAATTAAGAATCACATCCATTTCAGTATTGCTAACAATAGAAACATACAAACATCAAGTTTCACAAATGCCATTGCAAGGATATAAATAAGACAAAACCAAATTTATTTTATTTATAAGAATTTGGAAAAACTTGTCCTCAAAATCACAATTACAAATGAAAACTATGTAATTATTCCTAAGCAATCTATCCTAAATCTTCTAAACATCAGCTAAAAACTCTGATCTTCCATCCATGTGATCAAAATTCATTTCTTCGTGATCAGAGTCAACTCACTCTTCCTTTTAAGATTCCTTTCTTTTCTTCGATCCTACAAAACAACAAAATGTAATCTTATCGCATCATGTACTAAGAATCTACAAATAGAAACTTAATAGTGTTAGATAGTGGATTTACATGAAGCAGAGTCATGCATCTTGACTCTCCCATCCTCGTGATCTTCCAGGTACATATGGCAGCTTTGCATCCAATGCCCCTTCTTTTGGCAGTAGAAACAAACAGACCCTTTTGGAACAGCACATGGGACAATTAAAAGATTCAGCCTTTCTCTTTACCATTTGGTCAAACGGTTTGACGTTAGCCAATTCCTTTCTATTGGGAAGAGAATATCTTTCTAGACTTCCAATGTTTCCATTGTCAATGTCCATAGAAGTTTGGGAGGCTTATCTTCCCAACAAATTTGCTTGACTAGTACACCAAATCATTATTGATTCAACAGCAATAAGCAAATAGGTAAGATCAATGAGGGTCACGTCATGGTCCATCATATAGTACTCTCTAATGAACTCACTATATGATTCAGGAAGAGATTGAAGAACCAATTCAACAACCAATTACTTGAGACAATGACATCCAACATTCCTAACTTGTCAATGTGTGACTTCATCTCCAAGATGCGTGCACACACAAACTTTCCATTTTCGTGTTTACTTGCCAATAGGCCTTGAGTGACCTTGAACTTTTCAAGTCTTTGAACACGTGGGTCAGGGAGAACTATTGGAGGAGGTGGAGGAAGTGAAGCATGATTTCCATTTCCACGATCCAATCGTGGAACATCACCTTCAAGTGGAAAGCTTTTTCCAAATGATTTGAGAAGACCATAGTCATTTGACATCTATAAAATGGGAGAAAGTTCAAGTTAGTTGATAAGAATCCTTGATATAACACCCAAATGAAATATCAAGGCCATGATCCAACACAATATTCTGCAATTAGGAAAAGCGATGCCGTAATCTAATTGCAAAATATTTGAAGGTATGTAAATGATGATTTACCAATTTCCACCATGAAAAACGAAAAGGAAATTCGATTTTAAATGTTTTGAAACTCCTAGATCTTTTGAGATTCATTGAACTTTTCAATGGCATGTTTAATCTCGATTATGCCCTTCAAGTTTGTGACTGGGATGCCGAGGATCACAAACAAGGTGTAGATAACAATACAAATTAGCTTGGTACTCTTGATGTCGATCACCACCCAATCAATATGTCAGTTAACCACACACGGTCCATTGATCAATGATAATCTTCCGAGAAACCCATTGTCATCCTTCATTGGTCTCATATTAGTGTGCTGGTTAACCATACACGCTCCGCTAACGACCAACAAGGTGCAATGTGCAATTTCATGGATTAGCACCAATTCCACATTTTTCATTAAGTAACTCAGATTTGAGAATTTGTAAAAGTGTTTAGTTATTTCGTATTTCATTATACTTATAATGGAAGGTTGTGTCCTATCCTACCCGTTCAGCTAACGACCCTCCACTAGTCAAGAGTGCGGTGGGTAAAAGTGGACACCCAATGGTGGACATTTTACGTGCCGCTTCCTTAAACACCCCTTATAGACCAACTTCGTGAATGAGACCTACTAACGGTAAGACCGACTCTTTACTCGTACATATATAATATTAGACTTTTAATTTTATATAGTATAAGGGTGTATTTTACACTTTTAAAATACTAGGTGGTTTAATCTATTAATAAATTAAAATTTTAATTTGATTAATCTTAAACCATATTATTATGGATTCATTAATTTTCTCTTTTAATTAAACACTTAATGAATTTAATAAAACAATAAGGGTGTAATTTGAACTTTTCAAAACACTAGGGTTCTAGAATTTAATATTTCAAAATTAATACCTTTTAATTAAATTATAAATTCCAAAACTTGAGGGCAAAATTTGAAAATTTTTAAAATATCTTTTAGAACAAATTTGAAAAATAATTAAATATCATATAATTAATAATTATCACATATTTTGACCTGATCCAATTTTTTTCTTACAAGATAATTCAAATCAAAATACAAATAATTAATCTTTATCTTATAAAACAAGTAGTTATCTTAAATTGACAATTATCCATTAATTTGATTAGGATATCAATTATCATAACTGAAAAATCTGATTTTTATTTGGAAAAAGCATTTATGGTAATTATCCAAATCAAATTAGGGCAAAAATTTTGAAATCTGCTGTCAGACTGTGTTCACGACGTGAGTCTTCTCAGATTCGAAATTCGTAATTTTTCAGCTTTGAAAACTTAACTTTTGCATCATATAACAGAAAAAACTACCATAGGCTCTGATATCACTGATGAGTTTTGAGCAGAACATCATTCCTATGGTGTACATGCAACCCTAATGCTTTGGATCTATGTTTTCTTTAAGTTATACATGCAAACAATCTTCCAAATCATAAAACCTAATCTAACATGTCTAAGAACGAAATTCATATGTAACTAAGTGTTTGGAATCTTACCTTACTTGTTATGTAGCAATAAAAAGAACAATCCACAAAGTCCTTCACTCTTGAAAGCTTAATGCCCCAAGTATTGCACCTCTAATGGAATCACAAACACCACTAGAATTCTAGAAACAAGATGACTTAGGAGAGAGGAGGAAATCAGCTAAGACAACACCAAGAAGCATAGGTCCATAATCCTTATGTTAGGGGGTCTATTTATACTTGTGGATGCTAGGGTTTTTAGGTGGAAATCCTAATATGGCTGCTTAAGCCTTAAGCAGCCCATGGATGCCTTCTAGAATATCCCTTGGATGAATTCCTTATGGGCTTCCCATAGAATTCGTCCAACCTTTATTCCAAGGTGATCCATCAGCCCAATTGCAATTATCTTGTAATTACAGTATCAATCCATTTGATTTAATTAATCTCTTTTGATCACAAAACTAATTCTAAATTAATTCTTGATCAATATTAATTAAACGATATGATTTCTCTTTTAATATATCATTCACATAATATATATTAATAAATCACAATTAATCATTTTTCTCCATAATTCATCCTATCAGCTGCCATGGTGAAGACAACCCAAAAGGACCATGCTCATAATTGGGTCAAGTACATACCAAAATAGTTACGAGTTAGACACCTAATCCAACATGTTTTACACATGCAACTCATCATTCATAAAATATATTGCTCCTGTCACAACGTGCGACAAGCAAGCACCTAGTTAGATAGAAATATTGTTGGTGATTTTAGTGTTATCAACATATTTTAGTGTAGTTATTGTTAATATCGAGATATGATGAACTCTATTTACTCATCGAGTATGGAGGTGTATGTGCACACTTTGGGTGATAAATGTGAAATCAGGAATACGGGGGTTTGAAAGCAGTGCCCCTGGATACGGGGTTCCAAGGGGAAAAGCCCCTAGCGGCACTTAAACAGATTTCTATATCAGGAAGGATTCGAACCATGTATTTCACACTGAAATAAGGCGTGACATCATGATGATATCATAAGGTAGTTATGTCTTTTGACTAACCATTTTTGGTGCCAAAATGCATGTAACCAACTTATAACCGATTTCTTACATCTATATAAAGATGATAAGTGTTCCGAAATCGGATTTATCACTTATACACTCGAAAATCATACTTGTAATTCTCGTTGTCTCATAAAGAACACAAAAAGCAACAACGTATTATTCTGTGTTTTGAATCTAGAAATAATTTGACTTCTAAATTGACTCTCTTAGATTATCCCAAATCAGATTTTGTGATACCCCATATATTAAGCGAAATCACCGATTTTAAAAAGTAATTGCAATCACAATTCTAAAAATTATCCAAATGAATATTAATATTCTAAAGCCCAAAATATAACAAATATTAGATAGAAATATCCAAAAGAAACATCATATATTTTCTTATTGTTTTTTTGCTAACTTTTTTTTTTTGTTGAGTCACAACTCACAACTCCTATTTCATTATTTTTCATTTTTTGGGTCAAAATAATAGATAATAGTCGTCTCAAACTCTCAACATTGAAAAGATGGCATGAGTATTGTCGTATCATAAATGGTTATTGTCATGACTCATGCCTATGGAAATTAACATGGTGCGATAATGTGATATTACAAAAACACATGTAAATGGAAAAGAATTGAAGCAATAGAGTTCTTCCTTTCTACGCACCACACAACAATGACATCTCTCTCCCTCCTCCTCCCTCTCCACCCCCCACTTCACAACCACCACCAGCAACTTCTTTTCCTCCGTGGACAACGCCGACCTACCTCTTCGTTGCCGCCACTCCGTCAGCAACAACTTCGTCTAACTCCCACTCGCAATAAATCCAGCCTTATCACCGCCGCAGGTTACATAACAGGTCCGGCCTCGGATGCAATCGTCGCCGCTGAGGATCCGAAGGTAGAGGAATCAGATTCCAGTCCCGAACCGGTACAACGGTTTAATGCCATAAGTTTGGGCTTGTTGTTGAGGCTTTTGTCCCGCCATAAGCTTAGAGTTGCAGCTTCGATCGTTAGCCTCGTATGCTGTACCACTTGCACTCTTTCAATGCCGATTTTATCCGGCAAGTAACTACTGCAGCTTAATTTCTTAATATTAGTTCATCATTCACAAATCAAATCCACTGGCACTGTAATCTTCGCCGTGTTGCAGAAATACAATTCAATTTTTAGAATCAACGAAGCTTTAATTTACAGCACGATTGAAGCTAGTTTTGTCTAATTAACGAAATAAGTGATCTGTGTGCTTTGAAATAGTAACATTGGGTGCTGTGAATGATCATTAATTTCGCTCTACTTGTAGGGAGGTTTTTTGAGGTACTAATAGGGGCAAGATCGGAGCCTTTATGGCAGCTCCTTAGCAAGGTTGGAGTTCTATATACATTGGAACCGATTTTCACAGTTATATTTGTTGTGAATATGAACACGATTTGGGAGAAGGTTATGTCTAGCTTAAGAGCTCAAATATTTGGCAGCGTTTTGATTCACAAGGTAATATCATTCTATTATATCTTTACTGTGATTGTTATACTTTCCAAGGTTTAATACTTTCATCTCATTTCTGCAGGTGGAATTCTTTGACAGATACAAGGTATGAATGAAACTCAATTTTTACACAGTGATTAATATCATTATGGTATACAATTTGATGAATTTGTTTGTCACTATATCTATCCTTTGTTCTTGATAGGTTGGCGAACTCACTGCTTTATTGACATCTGATTTGGGTTCTTTTAAGAACATTGTGAGTGAGAACATTTCAAGAGATCGAGGTTTCAGGGCACTAACTGAGGCAAGCTACTCTACACTAAACAAAAGTGAGCTTATGCTTATTTCTATCCTTCTTTCTCAATGAGAAAAGTGAGACTTCTTATAGAAAAAAGGAAAACAAAACAAGCTTTTATTTATGAGTAACAATTAATAAATCCATTAGACCTGGTGGAAATCACACACATTTTAGTGCGAAAAAGGTAAAAGATTTCACATTGATTATGCACATCAATTGAGAATGTTGTGTCATGTATGCTATATATACTTTATAAAAGAATCTTGATAATATGATCTCATTACTTTGTATAACTATCATCATCTTCTCAGGTTGTTGGGACAATGTGCTTACTGTTTGTTCTTGCCCCTCAACTTGCACCAATTCTGGGTGTACTTATGCTTGCTGTATCTACTTTAGTTGGTAAGTTATTATTAAACTCTTCTTTACCTGAACTTTCAATAAGAATTTTAAGGGTTTTTTATGTTCATGATGGAATTGTGATGAAGATATCATTTTGGGTTGTAAGAACCCTAATCCACCCTTAATTTCTAGAACTTGTAATGTTATTAACCTTTCTTCATATTTTTAGCTTATTGTTGACTAATATATACATGTGTATGTATATGTATCCAGCTGTATACAAACGATCAACTGTGAAAGTATTTAAAGCCTATGGGTTGACCCAAGCTTCAATAGCCGATTGTATCACTGAAACTTTTTCTGCCATCCGTACTGTGAGTTCCCAACTCATATTCCTTTTTACAATTTTACCCCTCTATGACATAAAGTTTGCTAATTGTCATATATCATTAAGACCCAAAAAGGTAAACTTCAATCTCAAACTCAAATTAACATTAGTTTTTCGTGCATGTAGGTAAGGTCATTCGGAGGAGAAAAACGTCAAATGTCAATGTTTGGCAACCAGGTTAGAATTAGACACATGGGCCCCATTTAATGGCTTGATCTTGTTCTCTTGTTGGTGCAAAAGACGTAAATACCCTTCTCCTGATCTTTATTATATTGTAGGTTCTTTCTTATCAAAGCAGTGGCATCAAGCTTGGAGTGTTTAAATCTATCAATGAATCAATAACTAGAGTTGCAGTGTATGTATCTTTAATGGCTTTGTATATTCTTGGAGGAAACAAAGTGAAAGCGGTATGTTGCTATTATTTACTATCAAATAAACAACTTCATTTATTATTATTATTATTATTATTATTATTATTATTATTATTTATTTAAAATTTAAATACCAAATTCTTTCTTTTTCAAGGGTGAGATGTCAGTGGGAACTGTGGCCTCTTTCATTGGATACACTTTCACATTAACATTTGCTGTGAGTATAACAAGACTCATACTTTCTTTCTTTCTTTGCTATTTGATTATGGGTGTGGGCCCCACCCCCACTGGTAGTTAAAAGTAGGTTGCTATTATTAGGTTCAAGGATTGGTGAACACAATAGGGGATCTAAGGGGAGCTTTTGCAGCTACAGAAAGAATCAACTCTATCTTATCTAGCTCAGAAATCGATCAAGCCCTAGCTTATGGTTTACAGAAAGACATTAAACAAGAAAAAGAGGGAATAAATAATAATTTAAATATGTTTTTGTTAAATGACCAAAATGATAAAAGGGGATCTCAAAACACAAGGTACATGTCATCCTTAACATCAGGGAACAGTGTTCGTGTTCTTGCACAATCTGGTGATATATGTCTTGAAGGTATGAAAAAAAACATAATTTAACCCAGTTTTTTCTGTAAGGGTTAAAATCTCAAAAAAAAAAAAAAACTTATATTTTGTGTTTTTTCCTGATTAAACCTCAAATTTATTATTTCCCTGAAAAAGACCTTGTATTTTTTTATTTTTTGCGAAAAAGCTCTTAACTTTGTATTTTTTTCCGAAAAAAAACCTTTCTAAATGCTTCCAAATAAACCCTCAACTTTTTTAGTTTTTCTCGAAAAAACCCTCATATTTTACAATTTTTTTTGGCAAAAAATGACTAAAAGGGCCAAATCGGGAAACATGAAAAAATACAAGGTTTTTTTCAGGTAAAATATAAATTTGAGGTTTAATCTGGAAAAAACACAAAATATAATTTTTTTTTTTTTTTTTTGAGGTTAACCCTTTCTGTCAATTATTTACAATAGCAACATATGTTACCTTTTTTTTTTACCAATATAGGCAGCATATTTTATATCTTTAATGTCCACATGCTTATACTTTTTAGACAAAACTGCAAAAAGAGTCCCTGTGGTTTGCATTTTTTTAGGAAACAAGTCCAAACCTTGAAAAAATTGAATAGATGGTCCTTTTGAGCATCTTTCAATGTTGTTTTAGTCCCTCCCAAAACGGAAACGACTAACTTGCCCTTTCTTACTTTGTAATTATTAAAATATAAAAATAAGTATAAACGGGTATAATAGTCATTTCAGTTTTTAGAGAGACCAAAACCACAACGAAAGATGCTCAAAAGGACCATCTATCCAACTTTTTCAAGGTTCCGACTTGTTTCCTGACAAAATGCAAACCACAGGGACCATTTTTGTAATTTTGTTTACTTTTTAACCAATACAAGCATTAATAGCAACTTACTTACCAAATGTAAATACGGGTAAAAAGTGTAATTATGTTGCTATTATGGGTACAAAATGTAAATAATGGTAAAATAGTGTAATTATGTTGTGGTAGAAAATTTAAAGTACATTGACTTTATTGGTAAAAGGAGTATAGGATATTGCTATTTCTTGTAATTGTTTTATTTTTTTTTGTATAATTAGTTTTTTTTTTAATGTTCAGATGTGCATTTTTCATATCCATTGAGGCCTGATGTGGAAGTACTTAATGGCCTTGATTTGACTTTAAAATGTGGAAGTGTTACTGCTTTAGTGGGGTCCAGTGGAGCTGGAAAGAGTACTATTGTCCAGCTTTTGGCAAGGTTTTATGAGGTAACTTTATTATATTTACAGAAAAACACAATGTATTTTTATTATTTTATTGGTTTAACCACTTAAGTAATTTCTGTTCGACTAAAAAAAAACCATTTTCCCTATTTTGAAAAAAGATACAGAAAAACACAATGTATTTTTATTATTTTATTGGTTTAACCCCTTAAGTAATTTCTGTTCGATTAAAAAAATACCATTTTCCCTATTTTGAAAAAAGAATTATGTTTTTTTTTTTTATGTATGTTTTTTTTAAACGTATCTTGTGTTTTCTTTAATGAACTTACTAATAAAATTTAACGAAAACAAGTAATTTACCAAAAAAAAATAATACAAGATGACCTAAACGTTCATTTAAAACAAAATTAAGTGGAAACTGTAAAGACAGGTTGAATATTTTAATTAGGCAGGGACCATTTTTCTAATTTTTTAAAACACATGAATCATTTGCTGTAAAAAAGAAACTCTGCAGAGGTACCTTTCTGTCAATTACAGGGACAGTTTTGTAATTTGTTTTCTACAAAGGGACCAAACTCAAACCCAAAGAGTATACTATCTAAATTTTAACCACACGGACCATTTCTGTAAAAAAAAAAACTTCACAGGGACTGTTTCTATAAATTATAAGGACAAGGTTTTGTAATATCTTCTACACAAGGACCAAACCCGCCAACATATGAAAGTATTGTGGCCAAAGTCTAAAACCCAAAACTATATTATTCATAAACCAGTTGCTTTTTATTGTTTATTATATTAGTCCTTATTTCAAACCAGGTAACGTTTTTTTAAAACATTAAAAAAAAGTCAAGTAGCTAAATCAATAAAATTTGGTGAAACTATAAATTAAAAAAAAAAAAAAACATGGCTCTATGATTTTTTAATACGTATTTTTATAAATTAATGAAAAAATCTTGTATTTTTGCAGCCAACTCAAGGCAGGATATCAGTTGGAGGAGAAGATTTAAGAACATTTGATAAAAGTGAATGGGCGCGTGTAGTCTCCATAGTCAATCAAGTATATGCTCTTCAGTTTATAATAATTCACATTCATTTATATATTAATTTTTTAATTTTAATAAAAAACAGAATTTATAAATTATAATAGGAACCTGTTCTTTTCTCGGTGTCTGTTGGAGAAAACATCGCGTATGGCCTTCCGGATGAAAACGTGTCAAGAGATGATGTCATCGCAGCCGCCAAAGCCGCCAATGCTCATGATTTCATAATCTCATTACCAGAGGTTTCTCTTTCTCCTCTTACTGATAATGACCATTTTACCCTTACATTCCTAAAAACAATTTTAACTGTATTCATCAGTTTTATCTAAATGACCATTTTTTACCTTACTTTCCAAAAAATTAATGTAACTATATTCGTCGATTTTTATCTAAATGACCATTGTACCCTTACATTCCAAAAAGACAAATTTAACTATATTCATCAATTTTATCTCAATGACCATTTTACCCTTACATTCCAAAAAGACAAATTTGACTATATTCATCAATTTTAGCTAAATGACTATTTTACCCTAGCACTCCAAAAAATAAATTTAACTATATTCATCGATTTTAACTAAATGACCATTTTGCCCTTACATTCCAGAAAAAAAAAACTATTTTAACTATATTCATCAATTTTAACCAAATAACCATTTTACACTTACATTCCAAAAAATAAATTTCACTATATTCATCAATTTGATCTGAATGACCATTTTACCCTTAACCCAGTGAGTCATTCTGTCTGGATTAAGTAAACAAGAAACAACCCTGTAGTCCTCTTTATCTTTTATTTATTTGTTTTTTTAAATAATTTTATTTAATCAAAGGGATATGATACTCTGGTTGGTGAAAGAGGAGGATTGCTAAGCGGGGGTCAAAGACAGGTAAAATATAAATACGCAAGTATGTATGTATGACAAATGACAAATTTACCCTTTTTTTTGGCTGAACCTTTACAATAATTACTTACAGAGAGTTGCTATTGCAAGGGCACTGCTGAAAAACGCTCCTATATTGATACTCGATGAGGTAATATTTTGATGTTTGTTTAAAAAATTTACATTGTTGATTTATTTTTATTTAATTTTAGGCAACAAGTGCTTTGGATACAGTGAGTGAGCGATTAGTCCAAGATGCCCTTAACCAATTAATGAAAGGAAGAACAACATTAGTGATTGCTCATAGATTAAGCACAGTACAAAATGCGGACCAAATTGCCCTTTGTTCTCAAGGCAAAATTGCTGAGTTGGGGACTCATTCCGAGTTATTGGCTAAAAAGGCCGATTATGCTTCTCTTGTTTGCTCACAAAGGCTTGCATTTGAGTGAAAAAAAAAATAATATATATATATTTTTTTCCGAAAAAATTGGGATTATTATTATTATATTGGACATTAATTCATATGAAAAAGTTATAGTGGTGTTTTATCGCCAAACATTTCACCATTTTTTGACACGAAAAATATATTACTTTTAACTTTATGAATTACATTTTGCAATTACTAATTCGTATTATATTTAAAATATAACTAGTTAATTAATTAATACCACTTTAATATATTTTTCCAAATGTTTGTAGTTAATTACACCAAAACTCAATGCGACATGGTATTAAAGGTTAAAGCAGCCACGTTACAAAAAATTGTTACTATCAGAACAAATGAAGTATTCTTAGAAAAACAAAACTAAAAACAGAAACAAAAAACTTAAAAATGAAACAAAACACTTACTTTAACACTTGTTTTCTAACAAAAGAAAGTGTCTTTAACAAACAAACTACAAAAAATGTTATGTTAGTTAAATTAGAAAACGTGTTACAATTTGGTGAGTTTAATGAAAAAAATGGCAACCGGTTGAACAGACAAATAGAGGGTCATAATGGACGGAATGATTTTTATTTTCCAAATAAGATAGCTCTAGTGAAATAAATAAATTATAAGTGATTAAACCTATGACTTTTATGTACTTTTCATAATATTACATCAAATTTGATGACATTATGTTTAATGGTACAAAAAATAATGATATGAAGTGGAACCACATACAAAGAATTTGTTGTAATCACCACAAATTCTTGTTTATAGTCTTTAGCTTCTTATTATTATAGGTTTCTTGTGCCTTCTTGGAAGATCTTTTAGCTCCAAAGTTTCATTTCTTTCAAAGGCATCACTTTCATCATCCATTTCCTTTAGTCGTCTTTTTTCTTTGACAACATTCACAAGATTTGTAGAATCACAAGTTGAAAACAAGGCAAAGTAGGTGATAGGATCTTTATCCATTTAGATGCATAAATGTATAAAAGAAAACTTTATATAATCAACCAAGATTGTGCTTTACTCATCATGTTGTAAACCTATAAAAATAAACCTATAATAATTTCCTATATTCCTTATGGTGTTGTTTGAGTTCTTAATCCTCAGAGAAGATGATGGTTGCATTTAAGATAGCAAGACATTCGGTAGGAAGATCAAGAAAAGAATTCATTAAAAAATCATCAATCTGTTCAACAGTTGCAACTCCAACTAGCTTGCATTTTCCTTGTTCATCAAGTCGATCTCCATTTCCACTCCTTAAACTTCCTTTTGATTCTTCAGAGGTTAACAATGTCTCCACCAATAATGGTGGAGCTTTATAAATACTTCCAACTGAAAACCAGAATTTTGCCTTGAACTTAAGATCAACCTATATAAATAAACATCATTTTAGTTTTCGTAATAACATAAATAATTAAAAATGGCGCTTTATAATGTTTTATTTTTTCCGAAAAAGGAACAAAAGTTAATGATGTAATTGGCTTAGTTTTCTTTTTTGAAATAATGGTCGGGTTTCATGAAAAAAATGATATTCACAAATCACAAAATAATAACCCATTGATGATATAACATCTAAAAAAATTGAACATTTTTTTTCATCAAGTATATAAATGATCATCAATTTCATAGATGGTCAAGTATGATTCCATTAAATTTCAAAATTGCTCCCCACCACAAAATAATAAAATAAAACTTCAATTATTTTTTCAAAAGAAAAATCTATTTCAAAATTGCCAAATTGTTCTTACAATTTTGCAACAGTATTTTTATTCGTTTTTTTATTGTGTGTGTGATGGGGGATGGGGGGCGACAATTTCACACTTCAAAACTTAACCCGTTGCGAAATTAGTAGCCAGAAATTTGGTCAAAGAACAAATTAAATGATGATATTTTATAAAAATCTTTATTATGAAAGTTAAGATTAAATTACATGTTTTTGTTCTTAATTATAGTTAAATCTTTTCAAATTTACTCCTAAAAAGTTTTTATTTGCAAATTTGGGTCCTCATTTATAAAGCTTTTGCTTTCTCTTCCAACTCCAAGCAACATGACTAATCTGTGGGACAAAATTGTAAAATTCCTCTATATTTATGGACAAAAATAGTCATTTTTTTACTTTGAACACTAGCAACAAAGTTATAAAAACTTCAAATAAAAACCAAAATTGTATGGAAAAACTTAATGGAACCACAATTCCAACACATGTATATACTTATGGACCAAAAATGTTATTTACTAAAAAATTAAAAATCACTTTCAAGATAAAATAGCCCAAAAATTAATATTTTTTCTTTAAAAAAAAAGCCAAAACAAAACAACAAAAAATCTAGTAAAACTTAAATCACCTTGCCAGATTCTATGTTGATGATCCCTCTAAAGATCTCAGGAACGATTTCAATTTTCAAGAAAGGTGGCAAAGGCAAGCCAAGAAACTTGGTAGTTAAACTTGTTAATGGCGGAATGTAAAGACTTTTTACATCAAAGTCAACCGATGTTTCGCCATTAAAGTCAACTCCCACCATCTTTTTTCCCACCCCACTACCCTTTCCTCCTTGAGCATTATATTCAAAATCCGGGTATCTTGATATACCAAGTTTGCAAGCTTCTAAACTCTTGAATTTGACATTGTATACATCTGGTTTTGGGGTTTGTTCTGGGATTAGAGTTGATATGGAGATGGATGACATAGTTATAGGTAGAAGCTTTGTTGGGATTTGGGAAAATGATGGGATTTTGAATAGGATTTGAGGGTGTGAAGAGTGAATTTGGAAAGCCATTTTTAGAAGGTGGTTATGGAACTTGAAATTGTGAAGGAAGCCAAGAGAAAACTAGTTTAGAGGGTGTTTAATTTAATTCATTTTGGGAAGTTCATGTGGGAAATTTTTTGTGGTTGTGAAGGGCCCTTATCTTTTTATGTCTATTGCTATAAGAACCTTATCACAAGCATCTATGATATACTTTTGGAAAATTGCACTTACCTCCCCTAGATTCAAATATAATTTCTATATAACTATAGTTGACATGTGAGTGTGTGACATAATGTTTACTTTTAAATAAGATTAATGTCACTTGAAAAGTGAAAATTTTGTATCAATTGGTAACGACATTTATCAGATAATTTGAAAATATCGTAGTCGGTTTCCTTGAACTTTACAAAAATGGTTAATGACGGTAATAAGATTTTAACATATCCGTGTGTATATATATATATATATATATATATATATATATTATATATATATATATATATATATATATATATATATATATATAACCATTAAAAAAAGATAATAAGGTTTTTATTTTGTCCATATTAGGTCCTTAGGATCTTTCTTTATACATATTAAACAAACATGGTTGCTACTAGGGTTGTAAACGAACCAAACGAACACGAACAATGTCTTGTTCATGTTCGTTCGTTTAAGTTAGCCGAACGACAAACGAACACGAACGGATAAACGAACGAGATTTTCTTGTTCATGTTCGTTTGTTTAACAAATTACTTTGTTCATGTTGGTTCATTTATGTTCGTGAACATGCTAAACGAACATAACCGAACAAACATAAACGAACAAAGAAAAAAAAACACAATTAAACATATATGAACAGAAACGAACATATAATATAGCAATATAATAAAAAATAATTGAATATAGATGAATATAAATAAACTTAAACGAATGAACATAAACGAACGTAAATGAATATCATAAACGAACGTTCACGAACATAAATGAACGAACGAGACCATTGTTCATGTTCGTTCATTTAACTAAACGAACGATAATTTTTGTTCATGTTCGTTCATTTATTAAATAAACGAACATAAACAAACTTTCCGCCGAACAGTTCGACGAACATTCAGTTTGTTTACAGCCCTAGCTATAACCGTTTAAAGAGGGATAGTAATGTTTTAATTTTGTCCACATTAGGTCCCTATTTTTAATATTTTTTTTTTATCATTTCATCTAACTCTTTTACAATTTATATTAGTACCTAGTTAGATGGTTTCATCATTTTATATTCTCATTTTAGTTGCCCATTCACCATAATCACGATTTCAATTGAAAGGTTACATAACAATTTTTTGTTATTTTTACCAAAAAAAAAAAAACTAATAATAATCAAAGTCTTAATGGTTAAGGCTATATTTGGCGTGCCACAGCTACCTGATAAACTAGTTTATTTTTCGATTTTTTTAAAGTTGTGATGTTTGACGAGTTAAAAAGTAGCTTATAAGCTAGCCTTTTAAAAAACTACTTAAACTAGTGTTTTAAAAGTTTATTTTTAATTTCCAAATATATCCCTTAATTAATTAAAAAACATATTTTTTAAATGTCATTTTCTGTCATTATATAAATTTCAGATAACTTATAAGTTAGCAGCAGAGTCATGTTCAAAGTAAAAGAGTATCCCGAAAAATAATGCATTATCCCTGGTAAGTAATGGCATATCGAGAATACTCCATTGGTGAAGTCATTACTTATCTAGGATACCCTATTACTTTTTGGGGAAACTCTTTTACTTTGACCGTGACTTCGCCATTTTACTTATAAGTTATCTGAAATTTATATAATGACGTAAAAGATCATTTAAAAAAAATATGTTTTCTTAATTAATTATGGGGTATATTTGGAAAATTAAAAAAAAACTTTTAAAAAATTAGTCTAAGTAGCTTTTTAAAACGCTAGCTTATAAGCTACTCTTTAGCTTGCCAAACATGGCAACTTAAAAAAGATCAAAAAATAAACTAGCTTATCAGCTACATGTATCACACCAAGCATAGTCTTAATCATTAAGACTTTGATTATTATTAGTTTTTTTTTTTTTCGTAAAAACGACAAAAAATTGTTATGTAACATTCCAATTGAAATTGTAGTTATGGTGAATGAACGACTAAAATGAGAAGATAAAATGATGAACCATCTAACTAGATATTAATATAAATTGTAATTGAGTTAAATGAAATGATAAAAATATTGAAAATAGAGATTTAATGTGGACAAAATTAAAACCTTATTACCATTATGTAACACCTAAATTTCAATATAATTAACAACTTCAAATTTTGTTTACCTACATAAATTTTTCATGTGATTATGTGAAATTGCAGATAGGGTTCTCGTCTTTAAATTGTAATCTTTAAAGTACATAAGAAACAAGTTTTTTTTTTTTTTTTTTTTTTTTTTTTTTTTTTTTTTCAAATACAAAAGGTTTTTTACATTGGGGATTCTCATATTTGACAATGAATTGTAATTTATGTTTATATCTTGAAATTGTTCTTTAGCTACATTTGATGCTTCATGTATATTGGTGAAATACAGCTACATTTGTTGCTTTATGTATATTGGTGGAATAATTAGTTGAGTTTGGAGTCTATGGTTGTTCGAGGGAGGTGATTCTTGTTATGCTTTAACGAAGAATCCGTTAAGTTGTGAAGTTTCTTGAATTTGTTCTTCTCGCATAATAGTAAACCATGTTACAAAGTTAATAAGAATCTATCTAATTAG